AAAAAAAAAAAAAAAAAAAAGGGTTTTCCACATCTGGTTTGAAAAAAAAACAGTTATTTTTGGTTAACATTTAGCGACTACTATTCAGTAGTGTCAAGAAATTAGTCAGTTATTCAGATACTGCAATATTTGATAGTAACAGAGATTACAATAGCTGAACACTTTTGAAAGAGTATAGTCAAATGATCAGTTATTATGTCTGACAACAATGTTAGCAACATAGAACCAATATTCAAACTACCACAGTTTGATAATGTTTCTGAATCTTAATAGATCAAGAAGTTATTATAATAACAACTGATTAGAGAAGGCCTTAATAACAGCCTACATTTCAAAGTTGTTTTATGTAGAATTATCAAAACCTATGTCTACTTTACAGAATTTGTGCAGAATATTGTAACTATTCAAACTTTTCCGTTCATATGTTTTTGCACCTGCATAAGTGTGGTTCTTTTTTTTGTTTTTTTCACTGATCAACAAAAGATTCAGCTGGATGATTACAATAAACAGTTTATTACTGCTTTATTTATTGGTTAGAGTCTAGATTCCTTTTTTTTGGCAGTAACAGCAACCAACCTTGACTGTTGCTAAAAGTTAAATTGAAATATTTTTAATGCTATTGAAACCATTCTATTTGACTTTGTGATTATATTTAAATATGATTTTTGAGCTTTGTATATTTGAATAAAAAAAAAAAGGGGGAAAAAAAGGCTGGAATTGAGCTGAAAAATATAAAAGGGGAAAGAAAAAGATGTTTTGTTTGTCCAAACAAAACCAAAAGGGAAAACCGTCAAAACCGATTGCAAGTGTTTTTCCTTTTTTTTTTTTTTTCAGCTGAGCAGAATTGTGTTCACGTGCGATTCATCTTATATTTAGCATCTTTAGTCGTGTCCGTCTCTTTCTGCTCCACAGTTTTCCTATTACAGCTGTTTCTGTGCAGTAGGGTGCATGATCTTCCAGCGGGGAAACGAATTAACGACGCAAATAAGCTATCGGCAGTAACCATCGTCTGGTTTCCAATTGCCAAAATTGGCTTCCTACAATATTTTGTATACTTAGCTCCACTGTACTTCAAATTTTCATAGTTTTTCTTCTGAACAATAGAAAAACAATAAGCAACAAACAACAACAAAAAAAAAAATTTTTTTTACTGATAAAGAACAATGGGATAAAAAAAAACCATCAAACCATATAAATACAGCAATTTTAGAAGGCTATTTTAACCTACGAAAACCCATTACGTTGCTTACTGCGTAATTGTCTCAGTGCTTTTGTTATTACTGCATAATCGTGAAGTCTTTATTCTTTTTACTTGTTTCTATGCTTTAAAGAATGGGTATCACAAAAGTCTTTTGGTTATTTATTCCACCTTCTGATTAAATTAAAATTAAGACGTTTTGGTATTTTTCGTTGGTAAAATTTCTGCCGAACTTTAGTGTTTCGTTCACTAAGAAAAATCGTATTTTTACCCAGAATAGCATAAGTTCTATCCGCTATAGCATTTGCTCTATAAAAATGTTGCATTTTTGTCTGATTTCAGCCTAAGCGAAACAGCGAGCTGTTCTTTTGTTTTTTGATAGATTTGTTTTGTTGATTCTCTTCTCACTTATATCAAATTCCACTACGTTCACCGTTCATGAAACTGTTTAGCAGTTGAATGACAGGAATGGATAAGTTGGTCACAGATTTGTAGATGCTTCCGGCTGTTTAGTGCTGTTTCGTCTTGTTGATCAGTGACCTGCGAGAAGCACAACTGCGGATAAAATGGAATCGTGAAGGCTAACAACTGGCAAATGCTTCTTTAGGGCTTCATTTTTCGTATTTTGAGAAAACGAGAGTGATTTTCAAAGCCATGGTAAAGTGGCGGAAACTGGAAACTCCCGTAACATGCCACGCGCATTCAAGGGGCTTGAAGGTACATGCTTAGCGGCAGATTTGCACGATACTTTGCCAAGGATTACTTAAAACAACTTGCGCCCCACCTAAATAGCTCTGTACAAAGCATCTTAACCAGGGCTTCGAGCCAAAATTGAGGTAGTTTTTCACGTATTTGGAGATATCGAAATCTCTTCTGTGGTTAGTCACATTGAAATTGGCGCGACCTTTTTTACAACCATTCGTTACATCCGTGGTTGGTGTCTTCAGAACGATAGCTCACTTGTTGTTGGTTTTTGTAATTCAGATGTGAACTGGAGGGTCTACCGGTAGACTAATTAATCAAGTACTGCGTATTTGTGGTGACCAACCGATGTTAGCACTTTCAGTGCGCAACGTCAAGAAGTCAATTTTTGTAATTGGAAACTCAGTTATGTGCACCAATTTCACTCTGTAAAACGACTGAAGGAGAAATTTCTTTAAGGAAAAGACTAATTTTAATTGCTCCAAACCTGGAAAGCCGCACAATATTTACTCGAGCGCAGTATTTATGAAAAATCACGCCTTTATATTCAATATACAATGTAGGCACTCTTAGAGTACAGTAGGTGTGAATTACTACTATTTTCGAATTATTTCATGAACTTAAACTGCACAGAGTTGCTCAACCTTCTCATCCCTTTTTCAGAATAAAATTAAACAACTGCTTTTTGGCACCTAACTCGCGTCAAATGTTTGGTGAAAAAGTTCCATTTACCAGTGTAGCTGCGCTTTAAAGCGGTTCCTCTTTTAGACTCAATCAATGAACGATCAGTTTTATTTTCTAGAATTTAATTTTTTCTTCTGTATTCTTAAGATTATTTGCCATACTTATTTTATTTGCCGTCATTTTTTTTCTTTCTTTTTTTTCGAGTAAGTCGCGTTCCCGTACCTGAGTAGTAAAATAAGCAAAATAAGCGGTTACTATATGACTGAAAACTTTCAGATGGCTTTAGGACAAGCATTTAAGCGAAAATTTACGACTATGCCACTTTTTGGCAAGATGATCCGCGAGCATTTTGTTGAAAGGGCAGAACTTGAGCATACTTGCTGGACCTCCAAAACTGTCACTACTACGGAGGCATCAAAAAAGTCAGAGAACAAAGGCTGTGCAGTCTTGATTCCGCTGGTTAACATCCGCGACCAACCATGTATGCTATTCACTCAACGAGCACTGTCACTTAAAAATTATAGTGGTGCAGTTTGCTTTCCTGGTGGAAAACTGGAAGCAGATGAAAACCCTGAGCAGGTAACACTTAGTCGATTTATAATTGTATCGTTGTGATATGAGCCATACTTGCTAAAAGCAGTTATGGTTACAAAAACACGGTCATAATGCATCGCTGCACTATCGAAAAACATCTAAACTGTTTTAGCAAATTCCAAATGACGTTTGACAGGTGAAAAGAAGAATAATGGTCGAGGAAGTAACGACTTTGATTTAAGGGTGCACTTCGTGAAAGTTATGAAGAAATTGGGCTAGACATGAACAAGGTTGATATATGGGGCAAACTTGATCCTGTTTACAATGGTGATTTGAATTGCCGTGTCACTCCAGTTGTTGGGATGCTTGAAAATGTCGATCTGAAAAAACTGAAAGCTCAGTATTCTGAAGTGCGAACTGTTTTTGTGGTTACTGTCGACGAGTTGTGCTCCAACAAATCATATACGAGACTTAAAAAAGGTTGTTTTTAGCACTAACTTTTTGAAGTTCCTTGTAAGTCCACGTAACTGAAGCTTTTCCTCTCTTGTTTTTCTGAAACTAAAATTTTATCTGATGGATATATTAGTTTTTTAAACAGATTTTTTCTTTGGAGGCCTTGTTAACATTCTTTTTGCTTTTCTTTTTCTTGTTTTATTCTTACATTAATTTCTATGCATAATTTTTTTTTTTTTTTGCTTTATAGTCATTTTTGTCATCTATTATGTTGCTTTACTGCTTTGGTTGCAGAACTGATTTAACATTGTTCATTACTTTTGAAATGTACAATTTATTGCAACAATAAAATGAGAGTTTTCAGGAGCTTTAGAGCATAAATCACCAGTATTTACTTCTCGAATGTATGAAGTAATGGTCGCAAATGGCAGGTCACCAGCAGAATATCAAATATGCGGGTTATCTGCCTGTACGCTTCAAAAAGTTTTGCATTTGCTTTTCCCTGATTATTGCGAAACTGATGTTGAAACAGAAGCATGTGTTTAATAGAAGCTAGAAAAAAATTGAGCTTCTGCAACAGACAAAAGATATTGGACTTATCATAGGTATAGATGTATTCGATGAGGATTTAATGCAGTCTTTAGGGGCAGTTGTTTAGGTTCTTTTGCCCATTTCTAAAAATTGATATATCAAGACTGCATATTGGTGGGTACTGATGTGTAAAATTTGTATATATGTTATTCATATTTTGTCATGTTTTGAGTTTTCTGTTTATGGGTTTGTACATAATAAGCTGTAAGTATTTTTTTGTTTCGGAAATGGTTTCCTTGATTGTACATATGTAAATTTCAGAAGGCCATTATTTGTTTGAGTTTTAATTCACACTTTATATGTTGTTAACGGGAAGTTCTTTTTGTAGTTGTTTTTTGGTCTACCTCGACAACTTTTTACAGAAACTTAAATTTTAGACCATAGTTAAATGGTTAATGTTAATCTTAGGTATTTTTTGCAGTTTTATCTGCCAAGTTGTTGTCAAAGTTCACTTGCCTGCCACGTCTCTTGTTTCTTTTTCACACTTCTGATAGCATATTTTGGCTCATGGTGCAAAAAGTTGTTTTTGTGTTATGTTGTTTTGCAGGTTTTTCTTTCATCATTTGTTGTTTTCTTTCTGTTTGATGTTCCCAGTCTCAATCCTTACGTGTTTTGAAGTGACAGGTATTAAGCATGTACAAATTCTGCTTCAGCAGTCGTTGTTACTCATTAATTACCAATGCCTAAAACTGGTTTTATTATATCAATGTGTTTGCATCATACTCCTTTTTTTGACTGCAAACCGTTGCTGGTACTAGTCGGATAAAATCCAATCATTTTAAAAAATTATAGTCTAGTAACTTTCAACTGGTTTTTTTTTTTTTGTAACTGTTTCTTCGAAATTTATCCTTATTTAAAATAAGCTGTTTTTTTGACGGAATAATAAAAGGCTTTGGTAATGTTGAATTTGGTTGTTGAAAAGCATATGAAACAGCAGTGGTAGGGTTTCTAAACAGAAGCATATGAATCAGTACCACCAGATTAACAAGTGAACACCGCTTTGATGATCACTGGTAGAATTTTTGCGACTACAACTGTTCAGACCTTTCAGCTTTATCAGTTGCAGTGGGCTGTCTTAGCAATTGTTTGGCCCGGGTTTATTCATACCAGTCTGATTTTAGATGAAGTCTTTTGCGTTTTAAGGTTGTTCGGTGTAGAGGTTTTGTAACTGTGGGAGCTGAACCCGTTCTTCTCTTTACTTTTTTACTCAGCAGTGTGTGTTAATCCAACTTACTGTTGAGCTAATTTACAAGCCTGTTCCCAAACATTTTGCCATTCTTGCAAAATACCCAATTCGCTTTCTTGTGCTAATAATAGTTCTATTTTGTGGTTAGGACAGATTCCGCTAAGTGGCTAAAAAAAAGTTTTAGTCTCCTCCAACCAACATTTGTTCAACATTTTGGCTTGAATTCTTCGTCTTGTTGGGGAAACAATTACACGTAAATTAGCTAAAAGTACATTTCGTAGCGCGGTTTTCCAGTCCTCTCCAGTTCAAACAGCTAAAAATGTTAGCAGAAGCTCTACGGGACAACCAGTCTCGACAGAAATTAGCAAAAGTTGATTTTAAAATTTTTTTGGAAATTTAAAAAAAAATCAAAGTTTTTCCTAATTATTTAAAACAATAGTAACAACGACAAGAAAAGAATTGAAGTTTCGTTTAATATGAAGTTCCTAAAGAAGACCACTCATCAATTATATTTTAATTTAGCAAACATCAACGTGCTTTTGTTGAGTAAAAAAACTATTCAAAACTGCAAATATTCACCGGAACAACCACTCAACCTCCCCCAATGCTATCGTGGATAGAAATGTCGAATAATGAAACGAAAAAAATCAGTTAAAAATGAGAGATTTTCCGACTTCCTCCCTTCTTTCCCACCAGCAGTTTCATATATTTGGATCTCTTCTCGAAAAATTTTCGTTTTGCTGATTAAACTTAACGGGAGAAACTTCAGACTTCCACAAAAATAAGAAAACTACTCATAAAATTACTACAAGAAAATTTTTTCGCTAACGACTGTATCTGTGTGCTAGACAAGAGTTGCTTAACGTATTATTAATTCTCATAACGTAATTCTCCTTCTTAAACTATCCACCACTTTGAGTAAAATGTTTGCACCTGCCATTCAGAAGAGAAGTTAAAAGTTTTACTAAAAAAAAGAAAAATAATGATATTGATAGCAACATCTCGTAATAGACAATATGCTGTCGATATAAATCTAAAGGAAAAAATGATGTAACTAATGATTTTATTTCTGATTCTATGTCTACATCCAAAGAGTGCAGAAACCACAAAATAACTTTATTAATAAATCTGAGGACAAATCTTTTTTTCGCGTAACTGATAAGATTTTACAAACGCTGTTTTAACCACTGTAATTATTTATTCGTTCTAAAAATTTGAAAGTTCAATCAAAAAAATTACTAAAAATCAATGGAAACTGTTGAACGGTTAGTGTAGAAAATGTGTTCATTAGTGTGTAACAGATTTTAAAGTGAGCTTTGTTCCAAAAAAATTAGCGCTGCATTCCGCAGCAACCTTCATTCCAATTTTTAAACTATTTGGAACAGGCAATAGACATGACAAAATGGAGGTCAACAAATTTCAAATGAGGATCTACCAAATAATGGTGGTGTAAATCCGCTTGTTCATTTGCCAACAAAGACGAACCGATGTAATGAGAGCTGAAATTAAACTGCACGAACGTCGACTACTGTAAAGCACAGGTACTGAAAAGTTAAACACAGTAAACTACAGTTTCAAAAAAGGGTTCGGTTTTACTGAATAAAACAAAAACAAAATTAAGATTTATTCAATTTCCAACTTTCGCATTATTTGAAGTGATTTAAAGGTGAAAACAACTTTTCTTTTCACAGTTAAACTTCAGAAATTTTATTCTACAGAATACGGACTTTATGTCAACAAGCTTACATTCATCCAGTCGACCATGTAAAGACCGTTTTGGAGCCTTTAGTGAACGCATATTTTAGTGTAAATCAAAGAACGCTCAACGTTCAGTTAGAATATACTGTTGACAAGCATTTTATTTCTTCCCCGAATTTTGCGGGGTCCGATAAAGAAGAACAAAACTAGCGAGTGTATCGGATCTGTTGCGTGGTGGTCAATAACACCACGACGGCTCGGTAGGACCAGCCTGGTCATTACGTATCGTCTGGACGACGTAACACTTTGCAGTTGTCAGTTGCAAAATTTTTGATCTTTGTGGTCTTTCAGCAGAACCAAGGCCAACCATATAACATTTGCCATGTGCATAATAATGACATTTCACGATTTTTCCCATTAATGCGTATGGTCTTCAAGTGTTACTTAAATTTAAGCGTAACTGAACGTCGGCGTCAATAATGTAATTTTATTTGAGAAGAACGTAGTCAACAAATTTTTTTTTTTTTTGATCTGAACGTGATTTAAAGATCTTCATTTTTTTTTTTTGTTGGCCTTCACTATTTTGATAAATGAACAAAAGTTACCATATCCTAATTGATGCTTTTTGTTGTCAATTCTGTTCCCATTTCACTGACACTCTGAGTAGAAGAAAAAAAGCAAGGTAGCTCTCCATAACTATTAGCTAACATTTCTGCTTTTATTAAAACTGTAAAAGTCATCATGAGTCTAAAATTACAGTATACTGCACATTTAAAAACTTTTTCTCATGGCAGGGTTGACACTGCTTCAGACAATATTTTTTTAGAAACATTGAAAAAGACAAGGCGATCCATCAAAAATTGTACATCAGACAAGCAAGTTGGTTGAGTAATAAAAAAAGGACAATTTCCCATGGTGCTCTTTTTTCTTTTCTTAGTTTTTGTAGTTTGTAAAATTTTAAATGTTTACTGATCTTAACAGCTTTTTTAGATAATGCTTAACCGCCGTAGGACTCCGTTCTTTATGCACCTCTGCTTCCTTCCGTCCTTTCGAACAGTATAGGGACTATTAACTCGTAACCACTTTCCTAAATCGTATCGTTGTTCATAATTATGTATTATCTTGCCTTTTCGTCACCAATCTGTTCAGTGATAAAATTTATTAACAGTTGATAGTCATATATTTTTCCAGATGACACTTCTTCGTAAATTTACACGTCGACTCACAAGTATACCACTGTTTAGTGATACAGTTCGTGAACAGTTCGTTGAAAGAACTCGGCAACAGCATTCAGGTTGGGATTTCAATATGCCAACCATAGAAAGAACATTTAAAGCTACTAACAGCAGTTGTGCAGTTTTGATACCGCTAATCAACATACGCTGTCAGCCATGCATGCTATTCACTCAGCGAGCGTTACTTCTCAGAAATTATCGTGGAGCCGTTTGCTTCCCTGGTGGAAAACTTAAACCAGATGAAAATCCTGAACAGGTAACAATAAAGCTGTCGCTTGAAGGTAGTTCCTAAAGATAATACTTCAGTCTAAAAATGTTGTTGGCAATTTCTCATACAATTATTAATTGAAGGATTATTTTGATTGTAAAAGTGCCTATAGCCGTCATCTAACACCTGAACATTGTGAAAGAAAAAAAAGTCACATTACCTAATCGAATACCTTCTTTTAAGGGCGCACTTCGCGAAAGTTACGAAGAAATTGGACTGGACACAAGCAAAGTTGATATATGGGGAAAATTAAATCCAGTCTACAATGCAGACTTGAAGTGTCATGTGACCCCTGTAGTTGGCATGCTAAGAAATGTTAATTTAAACAATCTAAAGGCTCAGTTTTCTGAAGTCCGAACTATCTTTGTGGTTACTGTTAACGAGTTATGCTCCAAAAAGGTGTACGCTAAATTCAAGAAAGGTTCCATCTTTCGCTTGTTGCATCAGATGATAAAATAACAGTTTAGTGACATGGAGATCGCTTTTGATATTCATAACTCCGCGATCTCTATGGATTTTGCAAGAATTCTTACGTGATGTTTTTTTAACTGGAAACCGATACTTGGAAATTACTTTGGCTTGTAGTTAAGGGATTGGCAAAAACATCCTTCAGAATGGGCATAATTTTACAGGACCGTTTGAATGGACACTGCCAGTTTTTACTTCACGGGACTATGAGGTTATCGCTGCAAACGGTGATGCACCGCCTGAATATCATATTTGGGGCCTATCTGCAAATACTTTGCAGAATGTTCTGCATTTGTTGTTCCCCAACCACTGTAAACTGAATAACGATGATTTAACATCTTCACTGCCTGAGTTTACTGTTCGCCAAGTATCAAGGAGCTGTCTAAATTGCTGACCAGTAAAAACTGCCGAGTGACTACTGTGGACAAGGTTCAGTTTTACGTGTTCTAAAAACTTAGCATTAAAGCAAAAACAGGTAGCTAGTGACTTATTTAGTTTAAAGTTTTGGTTCATTGTATTTTATTTGTATTAAAATCAAGCAAATTCCTTCCATCTCTAAATATACATGTATATGTACTTATAATAGTCAGTTTGTGATTAAGTTTATTATTATCTAGTCTTATTGTGAATCATCTTGTCTTGAGAAGATCACTAATCATATCATTCACCTTTAATCAACTCCGGTCATTAATCGTGTTATTTACTTTTCTTTTCACGGTGTTTAACTAAGTTTTTTGCAGATTTTTTTTCTTATATAATGAAAAAACAGGAAGCCTTGTCAGATAGATTTGTATATTATTATTACTTTTTTTGCGAATAGTTCCCTCTAATTTCATTTTTTTTAAAGCGCAAAAATTATCGCTGTTACAGACTTCTAATTTCTGAAAATTTTAAAAACTTCTTTAGCACTCTGCAATACAGAGAGCTGAATAACTTTATTTTTGCCGAGCATGTAAATTCCCGGTCTAATTTTATTCTTATATCAATTCTTGTTCTTCAATGCCACAGTCATATTAAAAAATCGGTTAATACAATTGGAGCCGGTGTAAAATAACCAGTTTATTTTGCTTTGCTTTCTGTGAACCAGTCACTTATTACTGTTCTCTAACCTTCCATTTTTTTTCGGTGATATTAGATGATCTTTTTTTAATCTTATTTCTGTTGTTTAGCAAATTATATGTCCCATTCTTTGTAAATAACCGTCCAGATGAGTATCCCAGAGCTTGTACTCCTTAGGAATCTTTACGATACATGATCACACCAAAAGAAAAAACTGCCACTTTGTAACTCCTTATGTGGTAATTTCTGCACTGAACTGTTCTCAGTATTCTTGCATGTTTTAATTTCTGGATTTCATCTGTCTGATCATCATTGTTTATCTGTAGTTATATAACTGCATTAGGTAAGCCATAAGGCAGTTTATCTTGTATTATATCCTGACAGTTGACAGTAAATTTGGATGCTGCTCCGTGATCTTAATCTCAGCTTAAAAAACGTATGCTGCTTAATGCGAAACTGTTTAATGCGATAAATAAAAGATGCGCTGTCCCAAAATATCCAGAAAACTAAAGATTTTTTGGTCTTGTTTATCGTTGCTGTCTCCGACAGTTTCCGCTGTCCCGTCGTTGCCAACGTTTCGTAGTTGCAAGACGTACAAACGGGCAAATTTTGTTAAGCTTATTTGGTTGAAGACAAATAAAGAACTGAGGTTTCTGACCGCTTCGCTGTTACGAAATAATGTGATTTTGGTGCTTCTTGCAGTGTCTACATGTTTTTTGAATGGTATTGGCAGTTAGTTTATCAACTGAAAGATGGCATTTTTTACTTATTAAGCGACTACACACTGGTACCTTTCTAACCAAAAAACCTCTTTGGAATTTGCACGCAAGTTCTGGTAGTTTTTTGGGGCCAGAAAAGTAAAGAATTAAGGTAGAAAAGATGGTTGGTCTAAATTACTGCTGCAAGTAAGGTAACATTAAGTTTCTTTTCAAGATTAAAGATGAGAAAGAAAGAGAGTGGAAGTTAAGTTATTTATAAAGTTTTTTAAATGCGAATCACTCCGCAGGTTTTTTAAAATGACCCTTCACTTAAAATAACAGGGTTTCAAGTCAATGTTACCAAAAAAAACATTAAGCAACTCAAACCAACCACAATCTACCTTCAGTGACGTCTCTTTAATAATAGGAATATCTCACATTAAGTTCTTATCACGAATAAAGGCATAAACTTTTCCCAAAACTTTACTTAGGAAGCTATATGGGTAAAGTGGAGATTTTAGAGAATGGTTCAATACAGAGTTCGCATATAACTGACATTTCCGACTCCTTAATACCCTACCTATCAAAGTTCCGAATCAGTTCAACTGCGCCGCCGATAACCGGTTGTGAACAAACGTGATCAACTAAAACTTCCAAAACTCAACAATTTACTACGTTTTTTCTGTCCCCCTTTCTGTACAGCCGTTAATTGTAACATCTTTTGTTTATACTTACAGAACTCAGAAGAAAAAAACTGTAAAACAGTAACCTTTGTAATCTCCGCACGTTTCTCAGAATGACAATAAAAACCAAAGACTGACTATCCTTCTGGAAAGTGTTACAAAAGTATGAAGCACAAACAACATGAGTGCTATAAAATACCACAATTCTAACCCAGTAATATGCCAATTCACTGTCCCATAACAAACTGTGAGGGACGTTTTGACAAGCCGTTTTTCAACTGACTTTTCAACTGTAGTGATCAGGTAATTGTGAATTGAAGTAATTTTTTCATCTCTACTATAATCGACTGCTCATTTAATTTTTATTTTTTTAAACCATGTAATTTGTACTCTATACGACACCTTAGTTGGATCAGATTTCAACTATAAATAGAATCAGAGGAAGGGGATGGGGAGTAATGTAAACTAAAACTCCATCAATACTGGTCGTATATCAGCCGAGAAACAATCCCGAAATGAAAACCGGAAATTCTAATTAATCTTTATTTGTTTGGAACTTGTTTTTGGTAGCCAAAAACCTTTCATTGTCCGTCGACCATCAGTGTGGGAAAAAACCCACTAAATAATTACTTCCAAATTCGACATCCTTAAAATCCGCAAATACAAAACCCAACAAAACCGATAATTTCTAAAACTCCTTCTATGACTCTCTTCACTGGTTATGCCTTCTAGTGCAGCTTTTTCAAGTCGGAACTATAAGAAAAAGCTTAATCATAAATGAAGAAAAGCAAAGAACCCCCTCATTCATGTCTGGAATTTCCAAAACTTCTGGAAAAACCAGTAGTTCAAGACTCTACTTCCAAAAAAACAAAAAAAAAAAAAAAAAATGGACGGTGTTTTAAACCAATCCATTTCAAAAAACACCAAGAACTTAGACGCCCTTGAACTAAAACATTAGGTCCACCCGCCGTTCTACCTCTTAAACATGAAGCATTTATCACTTTAGGATATTGCTGGACCCGAATTACGTCTTAATTTGCGAGTGGTCACACGCTTAATAAATCGTTCTAAAACGCGGAAGCACTAGTAAAATCCAAACGATGACGCAGCCTAATTCTTCTAACTTCAAAATTAAAAAACTGATAAAAGTTAGAATCCCTACAAGGCAAAATGCAGCAAGCCGCACTGCAAAACTAACTTTATCAATTCAAGAAATGAATAAATAAATAAATAAATAAATAAATAAATAAATATTACACAAGAATTAAACATAAGGAAACTCATACTCCAATTTAACCACCATCTCCACCCCAGCAAAAGAGAACGCGAAACACATGCAAAAAAATTTTCCAAAGTTTCTTTGGGACAAAGCGTAACAAAAAACTCACTTGAAGCATAGCCATCTGAATATTTCCCAAAGCTTAACCTAAACTCTACAAAGTCGTAAACAGTACGTCCAATTCAACCAAACCCAAACGCTTGAAAACTTTCGTTTAGAGTGCAGAAAAACAACATAAAAAACTTCTCCGGTCAGTAACACATTATGACCAAAAAATCTTGAAACACAAACAGCATAAGCAAAAACCAACGATCAGAAAAAAATATTAACTGCCATTAAATTTTACAGAAAACCTACCACAAATAATTAATTTATTAAGGTAACAACCTTAAAAGCTTTTCAAAGACAAAAAATATAAAGGAAAACACATTTAGCCTTATATACAAAAACGGTACAACCATATAACCGTAAGCAATGGAAAGAGATTCGTAACGCAAAATGAGCTCTAGCCAATCATGCCATAACCCCAAACACTTATCCAAAAACACCATATCCACAAACCCAAGTAAAACTTTTCTAGAAATTTAAAATACACAAAGGGTCCGCACAGCTATACAAAAGCAGATAAAGTCAACATCAAAATAATCTATCCGCAGACACAGAAGCGATTTATTATGGTCTCGTACAGAGATAGTTACCCAAGAATTAACAATGTAATCCTCCATAAGTAAAAGTGGGGAGATAAAGAGAAGGAAGGAAGAACAAAATAAAAACACCAACCCAAATTTTTTATTAAAGCAAAAACCACCGGACAAAAACTCCACTAACAAGATTAAAAAAAGCCGTCTAGGTAAAACAGAAATCCCAAAATTCTTTCTTAAAAGGCCCTGTACAATAAATTCTATGAGAAGAAGCAAGGACTTAGAACAACACTCATAAGGCTAAACAACTCAGACACTGAATGCCTAAATTTATCCTAAAATATACAGTAAATCAAATACACTGCAAATGTCAAGTAAGCATTATTTTTGGCAGAAATCACATAAGGATACTAGAAGATTTTCCGGGCTATAAATATCATTTAAATGGAGTTTCCACAGTCAACTCCCACCGATTACTATTAAATTTCGATCATAAATAAATAAACGTAAATACAAGTTTGAAACTTTTGAAAAATAACAAGTTCCTAATAAGGCTTATCAACGGTTCAATAAATCCATAAGAACAAACCCGTTACTCCAATTCGGAATCCTGTTTTGCATGCTCCTGCACTGTTACTTCGATTCTTGAAAATAAAAGACTAAGCAATTGAACTTATAACATGAGAAATCCGGAGAAGAACTTACGAGTGACTGTCAAATTCACCGCCGCAACATTCATCACTGTTTCTCAAATCACTTTGTGCAGAGTCTCCTTCAGCCTGCTCACTGGAACTGCAGTAATCCAAAGCAACGGATGTATAAGGTGGGGGAGCAAACACAGGCTCCTTTATAGCATCATCGTAGGTAGGTAAAACCGAAAATTCATTACAGTTATCTCCCCTAAATTAAAATCCTTAAATTTTTTTCAACAAATTCGAAATTCTTTTGAAAAAGGAATACAAAAAGCGTAAAATAACAAGAATAAAAGAAATTTGTTGAAGCATCAAGTAGAGATTACAGCACGATCAATACTGCTTACATCCTACGAACCGGCAACTGGCAACCAAAATGCTGCGACGATGGACCAGGAAATGTAGAAGGTTCGAAGAAGAAATTGGCTGATAGGGTTACTCCCTGGCAACGGCGGAGAACACGATCTCGACCACTCCGCCAGAATGACAGTTGAGCTTTTAGATGGCGGAATGCAACATATATGAGCACTCCAATTAAAAAAACAGCCAAGACTAACATTGTGCTAAAGTCTTTGGAAGATTCTCTAGTCTCTCGCGAAATGTACGAAACTAAAATTAAACTTCTAGACCATATAAATTGCAAATAACTATCCACTCACTTTAGGCAGTAAATCAAATTAAGACCAAGTGGAACTTCAAAAACCAGAACCTAAATACCAGCTAATTCTCTAAGAACGGCTTTAACTCAAACTGTTGTTACCCAATGAAATTAAAGTGAAAATAGCTAGAAAGAAGTTACTATGTACTTCAGGACTAGAACAACAGAGGAAATGCAGAAGAGCAAGGAAACTAAAAAAGATACCTAAAAGAAGGATAAATGCGCCGAATGCAGAAACGCAGCACCACCCGAAAAAAACAAAGAAGTGTCTAAAAACATTGTAATTCGTTGGAGGTGCCATTCTAAACGCAGGTAATGTATAGGCCGTTAAACGTTCCCTTTCCATCCCCGTAACATCACATGGAATATTTTGAGGTAAAGGGCCAACTAAAAAGAATCGCTGTAAGGGAAGAACTGAGGACTAGCTGTACTGAACAATTAAAAAAAGTTGAAAAAAATAGCAAGAAAAAAAAAAAGAAAAAAGTAGAAAGATTTTGATAACGCAACGTCCGAACTGATCACAAAGAAAATGACCAGCATTACACTAAATGGATCTCTAAAAAGTGTTCCTACAGTTGGAAAACACAACACCTTGAAAATTAAAAAATAAACCCAAACCTCTGGAACTTTGCATTTCTTGCTGAGCTGTAGCTGCACGCATCAATCTAGGTAGCCACATTGCGTAATTATTCCACAACCTTAAAATAGAAAAAAATACAAATAATGACAAGCAGATATATGAGTACTGTGCAAATCTTATTACAGATTTTGAAAAGGTGATAGAAACCAATCTTAAGCTCGTCCGCGGTAGGAAGCGAACTTCACAGGCAAAATCCCTCAATTAAATAAATTCAGGACTCACAATTTATTTTTTTTTAACGATATTAATTTAAAAATTATGTGAAAATATTGTGAAGTTTTTCACACTCCAAATAAAGAAATTTTTTTGCAGTCAAGAAAATTTCTTCTTCCGTATTCGAGCAAAAATGTACATCTTTGATGCCACTACATCTTAAAAACTTTATTTACATCTAGCATCTTACATAAAATGACTAAACATATACTCGAAACCGAAGCACACGTTGCACACTTTCCTTTTAGCAAAAAAAATTTTTTTATCAGATTAAAATAACAAAAAAGACTGCTGCAGCTACTTAAGAATTATACACATTTACACTTACTTGAAGAACGGCAGCCGCCATTCTTATTAAACCCAGTGAAAGACCACCAATCCTAAACTACATCAAAATTCTAAACTATTAAACCACTTATACACAACCTCACAGCTCTTACCTTCCACCACCAATTCAAACTGACCAATAAGAGTAACCGAAATTCTGAAAGAATTGCAACTAAAAAAGGTTCGCAGGAAACGATGAAAATTCTGACACACTTCTGTACCGGAACCGTTTCATCTAAAATAAACAGAGTAGTCTAAAACTGTACATTTTTGTTTTGCTACCACCGGCTTATCCCTCCAGAACCCTGCAAAAACTGAATGCAGATAATTCATCTTTCGACTTAAATAAATCCTTGAGCCCAAAATGGAGAAGAGTAATGTGTAAGTGATAAGCATTAACGCACGATGTGACATCTAACAAAATAAGACAGCCTTTAGACAGTTGAACAGTTTATAAAAACAAAATCATTGAAACAAAAGAGGAAAAAAGACACACTATTAACTTAAATTTCTTCTGTGAATGCTGAACAACTGTGAATGGCCGTCGCAGGAACAAAACAATGTCATTTATAAATCACCTTCTAGAGTTCCATAGTTCCTTTGCAGCGGAATGAAACAGATGAATTTCAAGTAGTTCGTCACTTCACAACCGGCTGCACACGGCAAATACGCGCAACCTTCTTGCCTGGTCTCCTCCTACTGCCACAGTAGTCCCTATTTTAAAAACTAGTTAACTGATCATCTAAACAGTTCAATTATTCTAATTTTTCAGCTACTTATCGTTGAATTAAACATTTAATTTTTGATAGGGTTGGGTTATCTAAAGCTGGATTGTCAGCTAAGCTCAACGCTGTTCCTGACTTTTCTTCAAACTTACGCAGATCATTAGTTCCTGATTTACTTGTTTATTAAGTTAACTTGTCCAATCCTTTTAAGAGATTATTGGCACAATTCCAAAATGCAAAACCTCAGCGATTTAGTAGGTTAGACACTAAACCCCATAGCATTTTTCTCTGAATTAAGTGTTTTCCTGATGTACGTTCGTTCTACATTTAAGACACTGGAAAGTTCTTGCTGTTTCTAAGTCTGCAGGACTTTTTTGAGGACTTTCAGTACCCTTTTATTGGTCATTCGTGAGTTCTTTAAATCATACGACGAGGATACCGTGAAGAAACACTAAAATATGGGATGAGGGACCTTTTTGACGGAAAAGCACTTGGATTGCGGTTTCCTAGATTTTGTAAGGAAGATATGAAATTGTAGTGGAATTAGGCAATAAAAGAGTCATTTCCAACTGGCGGCATATTGAAAGAAATGGAAGTTCTGAAACCTGAGACTTTTAAACAGAATTTGTCAACCGAAGTATTCGATTAAAATTGGCTAAATCAAAAAGGCACTGTAAGATAACGCCCGTACCAAGTTGAAGGTTTATTTTCATGAAGGAGGTTTTCTAAATAGAATTGTTAATTGTGACTTAAGGTGATGCATTGATCAACTAGTTTCAGCAGATGAAGGTGCTCTTTCAGAATAGTTTTTGACACTCCGGCTTCATTCAGAAGACTTAGACGTATGGTGTACAAAAAGTTTGCTGCGTTACGGTTTCTTAGCAAATAAGACGAATTAGTCAGGCTTAGCAAGCGAAACGCACTTCTTCGAAAAACATTCCCGAACAAGAAAAACGTTAGCTCAGTTGTGGGGAGCTGATCTTTCTTTGTGAATAAGCTTGGCTTGAAAACTTGTAATCAGTCGAAAAAAAGTGTTGCAAGTGATAAAAGGCAGAAGCAGCTGATAATAACTGTTGCATAATCTGTTGTTGAGATGCAGCCTTTTCTCTAATTTTTCATTCTTTCATATTTTCCCTGCCTTAGGGTGCTTTACGAACTGGTTGTATGCACTTTTACTTAACAATTTTCAAATCTGATAAGAAGATGTATGCTTATTGATCAAGTTCTCTAATTATCAGAACATTAGTTCTGTTGTCGGGTATCTAATGCATGGGCAATTAAACACGACCTAAGGAAAGGCTCAAAAAACCAATCACAAAGCTTGAAAA